GACAATGCCGACCATGAGGCAAGATCAATGTCTTGCTCAACTGCCAGAGCTAGAGCTGCAAAGTTCTAGTCCTCCCGCCTTCTTCCTGCCTCCTGACCTCCGCGGACCCAATCCGGCCTAACCTGCCTCTTCCCTAACGGAGATCTTGTCTCTAGCCTCCCCAGCTTGGTCATAGTTGTTTTATATATTCCGCGTTACGCGGCCATATTGCTCAAAAATCATTTTATTTTGGTTAGCAGTCCCGTAAATAAAGATATTTCCTCCTTTCCCGTTGGCCGGATCAAATCTTTTGTAGATATGTAAATATTTAATCTTTTTTTTTCTTTATCCTTACGTCTTAATTCAGGTAGTACTTTCTTAAATTATGTATTTTATATATTCCATAATCTCAATTAAAGCTAAATTTGATCTAAACTATTTTTATTATTATTACCATGATTGCAATATCACAGACATACTCATGGATCCTTAATATAATCAGTAAATAATTATTTATAACACTACAAATTTAATGTCATAAGAAATATATTTGTAATATATGTTATATAAAAATGAATAGAGATTTTCTGCTTGATTTTTGATCATGTTGAGGATTATGGTAATGAAATGCAGTCATGGTTAAATCTTGAAAGTATGATAATAAAAATAATTTTAATCAGTAATTTAATTGAACTAAAGGAATATATAAAAGAACATAATTTGATAAAAGTAATGCCTGGCTTAAGGCGAGTAAAATAAGGAAATCAAAAGATTATTTACCTAATGTACAAAAGTTTTGAGCCGGCCATCAGGGAAGAACAACAATGAGTTTTTATAGGGGAAGCATGACCTCTGGCGGTCGATTTAACAATGTATTGAATCTATGATATATATTTTAAATAAAATAATATTTTTTTATATAACATATATATATAAATTCACAATGCTCTTTTCACTTATATACTACTAATATAAATTATTCGATTATATATTGAAAAATGAAAAAGTATCTTAAAAGTTCTTATACTAGAGGGTAAGTATGGAAGATATCAGGACACTGGTAATCTAAAGTCTATAAAAAGATTAGAAAGCCCCTTTTGTTTATTTATATATATTTGGTCAACACAAAGAAAACTTTGTAAATGAAACGAGTTTTATTGCGAAAAATAAAACTTAGTGGTAATTAAATTTTCCCATCCTACTTTGAGAACAGATTATGTACTGAATTCATAATGCCTAATTGTCAATTGAATGTTTTGTTCTAGATTTTTATGCTAAATTCAATGCGTGTTTCAGACTCGCCAAGCTGGTTTGGAAAGATTTTCTGCCTCTACAAGAACAAAAAAGAGAAAATAATGGAAGAGAACCACCTACAGAATGCGGGAGTTATCTTTTTCCAGGATTACTATGGAAAATTGCTGACCAAGAAACCAGTTAAAGCGTTGATATTAGTTCTCTTTCTCTTACATATTGCCATTTCCATCTATGGGATCACTAAGATTAGAACATCTATAAACCATAGCGATTCAATACCATATAGCTCCTATGCCATGGACTTCCTGGACTTAGAAATAAGAGAATTCTCAAAATACAATGTTCGATTTCAGTTTATCATTGAAGAGACCGTAGATTATTCAAGAAAAGATGTACAAAAAGAATTTTTAAATTTAATAGAAGAACTTCAAGAAACTCCCTATATTGCAAGTGAACCGATTTTAAATGAATTCTGGCTTACATACTATCTAGACTTCATTAACCAAAGTCAAGAATCGTTTATAATGCATAACTACAACATGTCTTCCAAAAACGATTTCTTAAACTTTCTACATTCTAAATTCTTGCGTTTCAAGCCACTACAAAGATTTGAAAATGATGTTTATTTCAATGAAAACTATACAGATATCTTATCTTCAAGGTTTATCGTTCAGATAAATAATTATACCAACTCAGAATTCATGCTTGAAGGATACAAATGGGTTTCTAAGCGACTAGAAAATTTTAAGTATAAGATTTCTATGTATCATCCTCTTTTAATTTTTCTCGAATCACTTACAGGCATCTTCTATACACTTGTTATCACCATCAGCTTTACCATTTTGGCTATGATGGTCATAACGTTGATCTTGATTCCTAATATTTTAATTGGTCTATCTGTGACATTGTCTTTAATTGTTATAGAACTTGGAATCATAGGCTATATGCATTTCTGGGGGTTAAGTCTTAATGACATAACGCTTTTTGGCACCACTCTTTTTATTGGCTTATCCGTAGACAGCACAGCTCACATCTTGCATGCTTTCATGTCCTCTAAAAAATCAAATCTCGACGATAGAATGCGAGATGCTCTAGGAAGAGTTGGAATGCCTATTGTACAAGGATTTTTGTCAAGTACTGTAGGAATCATTGCTCTATCTTACCTACCAGCCTATGTTTATCTTGTTCTTTATAAAACTGGATTAATGCTTCTGATATTCTCATTGGTCAATAGCCTAGCAGTCATTCCTGTATTATTAAGTATAATTGGTAATAAGCAAGAAACCAAAAATGAAAATATCAACGAATTCGCTGTTAATGTACCTTCAAATCAATCTAATACTGAAAAGCAAATTTCTCAGATACATATTAATAGCAAATTATAGTATATTTACAGTTAAATATATTAGAATGAATTGACACAAATGTTTTAAATATTTATACTTTCATTATTGAATATTCATCATATATACTATTTAGCATTATTCATATTATTTTTATTTTATTTTATATTTTGAAAATAGAGCAATCCATATTTAATTCATCAGATAATAAAAAGGCATATATCGAATTTAATAAAATAATATTTTGCCAATATTTCGATTAGCTGAACGTGAAACCTTAATCAAAGCATTACATTTTTTTAAACAAAATGTAATGCCTTGATAAAGGTTTGGCGTTCAGCCAACCGAAATGCTGGCAAATAAATATTTTATTAAATCCAAAATATGCCTTTTCATTATCTATTATTTATATATATTTTCTCCCATACCATATAGCAATTATTTTCAATATATTTTCAAATATTTTCAAATATTTTGCATTATTAAAAACGATTTTTCTACAGTATGCATATAATTTGTAAATATGTTTGAAAATTATCACTAAACTGAAAAAAAGGATCTATAATCCCTCGAATAGTTTATTTTAAAAACTTTTCTCAATATTGTTTCAGGGGATACGCTTTCATTACTACTTTACAATTTTTATATTAAAAGCTTTTTAGCATGCATATTTCTGACTTGATATTAAAGAGCCATTAAAAGAATGAAAATATTAGTATTTTAAATAATAATATTTACTAAAATAGCAAACCTTTATTACGAATTTATCATATAATGATTATAAATTCTAAAACTGTCTTTGACTTCTTCTTCACCCCATTTTTTTTCTTATTTATTTTTAACTACGATTAGCGTTTTTTAAAAAATAATATGAAAAAATGGTTGTGTGTTGTGATAAATAGATTTCATCTCAAAATTTATCTTTCAAAATCATTGCTTTGGTAATGAAAACCATATTAAGACAGGTTTAGTTATATAAATAATTTCCTTTTGTTCTCTCTCCCCTCTCGAGGCACGACGCAGGCATGGACTTACGGCTGGCCCTCCACGCCTTACCCCATCCTGCTTCGAGGCGTGCTACCTGCGGGTCCAGTGACATGTTATGTGTTTTTTATATATGTTAATATATTTGTTATATAAAGATAATATTTATTTGAAAATTAGAAAATCTAGAAAAAAAAAACTCTGTTAAGTCGACCGCCAGAGGTCTCCTCTTTCCCTATATAAATCCATTATTGTTGTTTCCCATTGGCCGGCTCAAATCTTTTGTACATATGTAAATAAGTCTTTTGTTTTCTTTATTCTTACGCCTTAAATCAGGCAAAACTTTCTATGAGTATGTGATATTGCAGTCGTGGTAGAAATAATAAAACTGTTTAATCAATATTTGCTAGTTTGTTTTAATTGAGCTTATAAAATATAAAGTACATAATCTGAGAAAGATCAAGCAAATGATCAATAATTCTTTATATCATTCAGCAAGTAATAATTCTATAACTCTATCAAAAGACCAGCATAATACTTTTTAAATTAATATATATATATATTTCTTTTTCATTTAACTTTATAAAGAAATTTCTAATATAGCTCTTATTCATAATATAATATTCATATATTATATTTATATATACCTCTCTCTATCTTCACTATAAGCCCAATGTTTACACAATCTATATTCAACGCACTTTTCAATTATATTGAAGCTTCATCTTCAATCTATATAATAGATAGGGATCTTCCTTAATTCTCATAATATAACTGACATTTTTTCTTTTACTTAAGTACTTCTCTATAAACAATATTTATGTTTTTTCTCCTGGGGTACATATAAGAGAATTTTTCAGGAATGCCACACTTGAGTATTCCATTTACAGTTGTCCCTGAAAGAGGTAGGGAGATCTAAGCTTGATTCGGTAGAACTAAATTTAGTATCCTTGAGAATGTGTTTGGTAAACAATAATTAAATAAATTAATTATTGGTTTTATTTAAAAAGAGAAAGATAAACTTCAACAGCGTATAGTTTGAGAACTGAATTTTCATATATATACATCTCCTAGTTATATTTATAAATTTTTATTGGTAGTTTTAATAATAAAAAAAGAGTGAAAGAGTGTGTGTGTCTTTTGAACCTTGCACATATATGAGATATATAAAATTGAGAAGAAAACACTTTCCAGAGTTTAGAAGTGGCAAAGAAGGCTATGACCCAAGAAATATGATTATGATTCAAGGTCACGGATTCTTGTGTGACAACTAAACCAAACTTTAACGAAATTCAAACTATTTTTCATAGTCGGGATGCTTTCGATGGTCGGATTTTGAATGTCGATGCCATATCTACATAGCATGGAATATAAGAATTTTATAATACAATATAATGCGGCTTATGATTGTAGAACGAAGTTTGAAAATTATACCGCAAATGTTTCTTTCTGTAGCCCAGTGGACAAGGCATCTGCTCGTTAAGCGGAACACTGTGGGTTCGATTCCCATCCCTGGACACTTTATTTTTCCGTTTATCATTACTCTTCACAATTTATCCTATCATACTTCATTCCTAAGGTTAGAAAAAATCATTATTACTTCTTTAAATAAATTTCGATTTTTCGTTCAAAAGAAACATTTGCGGTATAATTTTCAAACTTCGTTCTACAATATGAGAACTATTTTGATTTTTATTATATTTATGTACGTGTTTCGTCTTATCAGTATGATTTATCTAACCTTTTTATGTCGTTGGAAGACAAAAGGGCAATCTCAATCGAAGGAAATGATTATTGAGAAAGATATATGTACGATATTTTATATCTAGAGCAAACCCTGAGTTAATATGGTCTTCTTAAACAATCTTGAGGGATCTTTAGAAATTCCTGAACATATATGCAGTTGACCTGAAAAACCATATAGACTATTTTTAAAGGCAATTATCTAAATGAAATTCTCATCTTTTCTTTCATATTCAAATAATTCAATATATAATTAATTAATTAAAACACACACACCTATTTATAGATTTTTTAAATTCAAAATGTACTAAAACATATCTTAGTTCCTGCTATTGAACAATTTGTTTTATATGAGTAAAAATAAAAGTGCCCGATTATCGTTAATTTCGAAATTAATCTGATGAAGAACTAATTAACTAGTTTTTATTATTCCTGAATTATTTTATCTCTTCACTCAATATATGATTGTCCCTCGCCGCTTTTATTTTTATTCATATAATTAATATTATTCAACAGCAGGAACTAAAATATTTGTTTTCCTTTTTAGTATATATCAAATAAAAGTTTTTTAAAATGGTATTTTTATTTTATAATCAGTAATTCGATTTTTAATCAGGATTTCTAAATTTATAAATTCATCATAGCCTCCCACCCCCAAATGATTTTTAAATTTATACAAACATGGCATAGAATTAAATTTTACAATAGGTATATATATTGCCACATGGAAAATTAGGGAAGACCAACTTAAGGATGAGACAGCAATTTACTTAAGGCAAGTACAAACTATGAGTGATAAACAAAAGATAAGCAATGAGGGAAGTTTACAGAGTTTCAAAATATAAACATAAAAAATGATACTTTGGTAATAAAATAATTGATACTTTGCTACATAGCTCCTTCCCTTTGGGAGCGGCGACCCACAGCTTGCAAATATTGTAGTTACTAACATGGATCTGACGTGCTTCTGCCAAGGATTCCATTGAAGTTTTGGAACTTTGATCTTTGCGTCCTTTTTCTTGCGGCGTGAAGAGCGGCTTTGTCGTCGTGTCGTCTATAGGGACATTGTCATCTTAGAGGGAAGTCTTGACTTTGACACGGCGGTGGAATTCTGGGGCCAGCCTATGAAAATGTAGATCACTACACTCATGACCTCTAGGTCTTCTCGGCGATCTTCAGTTTGTCTTCCCTAATTTACCCAGAATCTCCACCAAAATGCCGCGTGGAAAATTAGGGATGAGACAGAAATTTATTTCAGGCAAGTACAAACTATGAATGAAAACAAAAGATAAGCATCGAGGGAAGTTTACAGAGTATCAAAATATAAACCCATTAATTATATACTTTGCTACAATATAGAGAGGGCGATCTGGATAGCATACCTATATGTTGTTTTATAGAAAACCTAGTTGGCGTTCTGCGCTCCAGAAACCTGGGTTATAAATATCTATCAAAATATTAAAATATGCATATGTCGTAAACCCGGGTAAGCCAACAAGTGAGTTGGAAGCAGTCGGGATTGAGTGTCAAGGCGTGCAGAGTGGGAAGCCCGCAAGGGAAAGTAAGGACAAAGTTTGGGATCAAAAAGCGATCTCTCAGGACGTCTTAAGTGGCACCAGAACCGGGGTAAAGTAGAGGACTACCAGAGGAAAGCTCGGCGTCCTGCCCGAAGCCGCGGGGGCAGGGAGGAACCAAAACGGCGGCCACGAGGGCCGCCGTGAGATGACAACGGACCTAGTACTGAGCGTGCCTGTCAGAAATATCAACTGTAACTCTAACTGTCGACAGCCAGCTAGCTTTCCCTCTTCTTCCTGCCCGGATCCCCGGGGATTGATTCTCGTTGGACAGTGACTTATGTGGGTCATCCTTCCCTCCCCTGCGGTTCGGTGGCAAACTGGTGCCATCCTGAGACGACTGGGAAGACGTCATACTTTATTACTTACATGAGGCAGCTTGTGATATTTTAGAGCAATAGAGTGGTTAAAAATAATCAATAGTGTTACAATATATATTATTTATACGAATTTAACTATGGCCTGTCCTATGGTACAAACATAATAAAGATTTAAGTTATAGTAATAAAGTTATAATTAATTACACGAAATATGTGGTAAAAGCAGAGAGGGACAGAGTTAATGGTTATTAATAAGGTACAGGTTTAAATAAGGACTTTTAACTTATATAGCTTTGTTTATATTACGATACATATCAATATTGAACTCAGTATTATTAGGAATATGTATCTATATATACTTATGTGTATATATGTACTAGACGAATGACCCGGGCAACGCCCGTGTTTTACCCGATTGAATGTTTTTATTCAAATACTATTTGTTACAATTATAATTTGGAGCCGTGGATGTCACTCTTGTGAAACGTCCCGCTCCAAACTTTACATGTACATTAGGTCAGCTGGTATTACGCCTCATTTTCACCGCTAGAGGCGCGAGCGAATTGACTTTTTGTAAATATACATAATTATAAAGATAGAAGCTTCTATAGAAGATAATGATCATAATGATGATGCGCGCGCATCCGTGACAGCGATGAGGAATTGAGGAAAGACGGTCGTGACTATATATTAATGACGAATGACCCGGGCAACGCCCGGGTTTTACCCAATTAAATGTTTTTATTCAAATACTATTTGTTACAATTATAAATTGGCGCCGTGGATGTCACACTTGTGAAACGTCCCGCTGCAAACTTTGTGTCTGAGAGGCGATATTTTTATAGAAAGATGATCTGGCTTTTGTTTTCTGCTCGAATGAATGTTTTTCTGTTGGAATTTTGTTCCTGCGTACAAAATAATGAACTGGTTTCACCCGTGGTCTCTGCTTTTTGGAATTTTTCCCGATATGATTTTGTATCTGATAATCAAACATGATACAGCAATATCGTCATCATCATTTTATGACTAAAAATATATAGTTTTAATAATTGATTTATATATATTTTTAAATAGCCTATCGTCTTCCCCGTATTTTTTACCTATGTATGGAAATTTTGGTTTGAATTAGTGAACTACTGCGAATTTGTATACCGGACATACAAACAAACATACAAACAGACAAACATTCATTTTTATATATATAGAATTTACTCTTCATTGTTGGCTTTTTATATTATATTTACTCTTCATTGTTGGCTTTTTATCCTACATTCACTCTGTTGGCTTTTTATATTACATTTACTCTTCATTGTTGGCTTTTTATCTTACATTCACTCTTCATTGTTGGCTTTTTATATTATATTTACTCTTTATGTTGGCCTTTTATCTTACATTATTCTTCAAGGTTGGCTTTTTATATTAAATTCACCCTTTTATTGTTGGCCTTTTATCTTACATTCATTCTTCATTGTTGGCTTTTTATATTACATTTACTATTCATTGTTGGCTTTTTATCTTACATTCACTCTTCATTGTTGGCTTTATATCTTACATTCATTCTTCATTGTTGGCTTTTTATATTGCATTCACTCTTCATTGTTGGCTTTTAAACTTACATTCATTCTTCATTGTTAGCTTTTTATCTTACATTTATTCCTCATTGTTGGCCTTTTATATTACATTTACTCTTCATTGTTGGCTTTTTATCTTACATTCATTTTTCATTGTTGGCTTTTTATATCATATTTACTCTTCATTGTTGGCTTTTTATCTTACATTCATTCTTCATTGTTGGCTTTTTATATTGCATTCACTCTTCATTGTTGGCTTTTAATCTTACATTCATTCTTCATTGTTAGCTTTTTATATTACATTTACTCTTCATTGTTGGCTTTTTATCTTACATTTACTCTTCATTGTTGGCTTTTTATTTTATATTTACTTTTCATTGTTGGCTTTTTATCTTACATCTGTTCTTCATTGTTGGCTTTTTATATTACATTTACTCTTCATTGTTGGCTTTTTATCTTACATTCATTCTTCATTGTTGGCTTTTTATATTATATTTACTCTTCATTGTTGGCTTTTTAGCTTACATTTATTCTTCATTGTTGGCTTTTTATATTATATTTACTCTTCATTGTTGGCTTTTTATATTACATTTACTCTTCATTGTTGGCTTTTTATCTTACATTCACTCTTCATTGTTGGCTTTTCATATTATATTTACTCTTCATTGTTGGCTTTTCATCTTACATTTATTCTTCATTGTTGGCTTTTTATATTACATTTACTCTTCATTGTTGGCTTTTTATCTTACATTCATTCTTCATTGTTGGCTTTTTATATCATATTTACTCTTCATTGTTGGCTTTTTATCTTACATTTATTCTTCATTGTTGGCTTTTTATATTATATTTACTCTTCATTGTTGGCTTTTTATCTTTCATTTATTCTTCATTGTTGGCTTTTTATATTACATTTACTCTTTATTGTTGGCTTTTTATCTTACCTTCATTCTTCATTGTTGGCTTTTTATATCATATTTACTCTTCATTCTTGGCTTTTTATCTTACATTCATTCTTCATTGTTGGCTTTTTATATTATACTAATGATGATGCGCGCGCATCCGTGACATGAGGAATTGAGGAATTGACGGTAGAAAGACGGTCGTGACTATATATGTTGATATATATGGAAATTTTGCCGGGAGGAAATTGATCCATAGAAGCATAGGGCGCCTCTCCCGTCAAAATAAACGTCAAAACCTGACGCCATATATTGACCGTCGCCGCAACTAGCGGCCTCGGGTCGGTGAGATTCCTCCCGGAAAATTTTCCATCTATATTCTAGCCATAGTTTGGCCCAGTCACTTTGCCAGC